ATAGTCAACCAAATGTAAAATTTGGTCTAGAAGCATCTATTGTTGAACTGGACATTAAAGAAAACCCCAACATTTTGTTGTGCTAGGCTTTTTTTTCCCCTCTTTTCAAAAGAAGTAGTGTCCCTTTTTTGGTACCAGAGGATAAGTCTAATATGGCTTTAATAAAACCAAAAAAACCTAGCATATTACAACAGCAAAAGCCAAATCAACTAATATTGATATTTTAAACCTCTGCAGAGACTATTTTCAGATGTCTCATGAATTCCACCAATCACCACATTAATACCAACATCTGGTGGCTTAGCAGCATGGTAAGCCATGCTTCTGCAGTGAGCTACCAAACAGATGTTACAAAAAGGCTTCTAATTAAAACAAGTGGTTTAATAAAAGCATCTAGTATAAGTGTGACATATTAAAATATTGTATTTCAGTTGACTAAGTTAAAAGGACTACAGTACTGTATTAGAAGTCACATGTTGTCACTGTTTTTACGAGGACTACTACCGGTGCCTCATTCTTTCACAGAGGTCCCCTCTACACATGCAGAAAAAGGCGCTATTGGATCTAATGAGTGATCTACTATCATGCCTCCTTGCCATACCACATGAGCATGGCAGGAAGCACGACTGTGGGATTGCGCATTAGATCCAATCATACCTTATTGGTGGTGTAGAGGGAGTCAGACCTTGGACTCCACATGGGCCTGATCCTGGGTTCCACATGGGCAGCTGGGACTGAGAGTCCCACAGCTGATGGGTCTCTTGGTCCTAGCTGCATTACACATACAGCCAGGACCGAGAGCCCTATCAGATGCAGGACTCAGTCCCAGCTGCAAGTATGTGTCTGGGGGTTTCATGTACCCCCTAGCCTTGGGGATTGTGGCTGCTGTGATCCTCCAGGCCCAGATGGTTCACGCACCCCTGAGACATGGGGATCAAGCAACTGCAATTTTCTAGGCTTGGGAGTTTCACCTTGGGCACAGTGTACTCCTGTGGCTGAAAGCCCTATCAGCTGACAGGGCTGCAGTTGCACGAGAGACCCTGCTACACATGCATATTAAAGTTTGACAGCAACCACCTATAAAGTGAACACACATTTTCAAGGTCTAACTTTATAGCTGGTTGGAGCTTTTTATTGTGTGATAGCTACTCTACATGATCTTAAGGTAACTGCACAACTAACCAGTTAATTGCACAATATTTGTAATGTATAGAGGGGGATAAAGAAAAAAATCTAAGTGAATGTCAGATTTGAAGGACAAATTTGATCACCTTTTAGATTTTAGTCATGGCAGTCAGGTGTAAGCCAGCCCTTGAAAGAATATTTACTCTTTGCTGTAAGGCAGTGGTTGTAAACCGGGGGTATGCATACCCCTAGGGGTACTTAAATAGGTAATAAAGGGTATGCAGAATGAGCTGAACACAGCCCACCTGGCCCTGGGAAGTATTGCTGCCTGGCTGCTGTGTTGGTGGCTTCACCTGCCCGCAGCCCACGGCTGTACACACACCCTGGGCAGCAGCCGTGTCCCCGACAGGCATTTCCCCCTTGCACCCCACTGAGGGCTAAGGGTGCCTGGCAGGGTGGGAAGGGACTAGGGGAACCTGGGGAGCATGGGGAAGCAGCAGCCTGGGCCCCCATGGGGGTGAGGCTCAGGGCTGCTGGGTACACAGGGAGAGCCCGAAAGTCTCCGTTCCCTGACAGCCCGCTTGCAGAGGCTCCTGGCAGTGGCTGCAGGGTGCACTGCCTGTGGGGCTCCTACTGGCCTCCTGAGCTGTTGTGGTTGTGTTTCTGGTTAGAGCCTCACCACTAGCATGCACCTCCTTTCCCAGGCAGCTGCTCTGCCTTTGCCCAGTGAATGGAGGAGCCAGAGAAAGGCGCCTGCATGCAGATGCAGATGGGTGCAGGGTTTTTGTTGCTGCAAGCAACCCAATTGTTTAGGCTCCCCACTCCTCACCCTGCCTGCATGGGGCTGCTCTGAACCCGCCGCTCCTTGGGGCTTGTACCCAGCAGGGCACCAAGGACAGACCTTGTGCTTCCCGAGCCTGTGGGGCTGGCTGCAATATGGCCTCCTCCTACCAAGGACATGCTCATGGCACGCAGGTGACAGGCCGTCTCCTGCCCCTCTCCAGCACCCACCCCTGCTCCAGCCAGATGGCCAGTCCTGTGCCTGGGGGCCTGTATTTGGAGGTTAAGAAGGGGTCCCATATTTTGGAAGCTAAGGGCAGGGGGAGGGGGCATATTTTGGAGGCTAACTTGCTTCAGGATTTGACAAACAGAAGATGTAGCCTTTTTATTTGTGCCCCTGACCGCCTCACTCAGCTCTGCCCTGCTCAGGGTTTCTCCCCTCCTGGGAGGGCTGTTTACTGTGCTTAGGGTGTGCAAACACACCCTGCATGGTGGGTTCTCACGGGCGCACGGGGCCAAGTGGGCTTCGTGGCATCATTAAAAAAAATAAAAAAATTTGGGGGGCATTAAAAAAAAATATATTTCTGGTTTTTCTTCTGCCATTAAGTGCTCACCAAGAGCTGAGGCCAAGAGCAGGCTGCCTGCAGCCGCACCCCGCTGTCACCTATCTGGAGCCTGCTCACTGATGAATGCCCCCTTGGGGAGAAGCAGGTATCTGAGCCCCGGGGCCAATCCTGACCTATCTCCGCCCGCACAGGGGCACAGGCCCTTGGGCAGCAGGGACTGCATGGCAGGGTTAATAAGTGGTTCACACAAGTGAGATGGGAGGGAAGGGAGGCTGCATCTCCTGCACCGTGAGTGCATGCATGCATGTGTGTGTGCATGCATGTGTGCAGTGGTGGCTCAGACAGCCCAGGCCTGGGCCCAGCTCACCCAGTAGTGCTGTCACTGCAGCTGATGTGCAGGGTGCAGCTGTACCAGGACTCATGAATACATTGTGGGGATGTGGCTCTGTGGCACGCAATGTCTGTGCCCAGCACTGCTGCAGGCTGAGGAGCTGTCAGGTGAGGCCTCCTGCACTTGAAGCCCTTGTGCACCTCCCCATGGGGTTCCTGCCAAGGCATGGCCACTTCACTGCCTCAGCCACCCTCACAGCCCGGCAGCCCCCGCTGCCTTCCTGCCTCACTCCGCCGTTATATTAATATTAAATGCATTATATCAGTAACGCATTTAATGTTAATTAGTGCACCCTGCCTTATATCATATAATTGGTAACATTAAAAACAAGAAAAAAAATAATATAAAGGGGGTACGTGAGCTGCAACTTTGAGACAAAAGGGGTACACTTGTTAAAAAAAGGTTGAAAACACCTGCTGTAAGGTTTAAAATGTAATAGTAGACAGGGGCTGCTGCAATTTCCAAAATAATAGTAGGACAGCAAAACATAAAACACTAAGTGGGAAAGGCATAGACACAAGAAGTGGTAAAAAAATGCAGTGCATGCACACACAAAACACACTGCAATGCTTTTCACACAATATCATTTCCTTACTTAACCCACATAAACTAATGTTGGGAATTTTGCTTATTTGTATTTATGGTTTAAAACACGTGTGAAAAAGAGTATCATCTTCGAACTTTGCTCCTATATATGATGACTATCTGTATATTTACTTAGAAACTTTGATTTACGTTCATATAAACTGAGTTCATAGTTGAGATTCCTTCTAAATAAAACCTTACCACAGCCTATATGGTTGGCTACGGTGGGAACCAATAACAAGTGATATTATTGTTTAATTAACCTGGAATAGGCTTAAAAGCATTCTGCCACTAATTTTTTCCCTTACATAATTATTCAACCAAAAAGAAGAATGAAAACAAAAATAGATTCTTTCAGTACACTTTTGCTCTGGCTCTAGATCAGGGAGTGCTCTACAGGAAAAGTGGCCAGCAGCTGCAAAAAGAAAAGGGTCACATCACAGAAACTAACCTACTTAGGATTTCCGATTGGACATTATGCAAAGCACACTTTTTGCTCAATGAGGACCAACTGATAACAAGGAGACATGAGGACAGCTGTAAGAAATGTTTTGAGAAAAAACATACAGAAGGTGATTTGCAATAAGAGATGGTGTTAACTGGTTGTAAAACCAAAGAAAAAGCAATGGTTTAATGAACAAGAGAGGACTTTTGAAGTTAAAAAAAAATCCAAACAATAAGGGCAGTGTGTGTTCTTCAAAGGAGAAGGAATATGAGACAAAAGCAGGAAGTGCTGTCCTTCCTTTATCCTGAGAATTCTCAACGAAAGGTCAAGTATACTCATCAGTCAAGATAAGGAAGAAGAGAGCAAAGGGAAGACCTTCTTGGGGAGGGAACAAGTACATATCAGAAAACACCCTCTATGTTAATGTATTCCTCCCATGCATATTTAGGATAAAGGAAACTGAGGTTTCATACTCAAGACAGCACAAGGCATCTTATGAACCATGTTTTTTTGACAGAAATACACTAGCCTCGTAACTCAATGGGAAATTAAACACTTAAGAAACTCTCAAATATTAGAACTGGTTATAGTCAGAGATTTACTGGTGAGGAAAGAAGGTTGTTCTCTCTTCTGCCTGAAAAGCCCTATAAAATCCTAACTGTTACATCATCACTGCACAATTTTTGACCACAGGCACTCCTAATACAGAAGATGCCTGTTACTTAATAGTAGGGTTGTTTCTGAAGCAGTCATTGCTATGTAGAGAGCTTCTGAGCTACTAATGTCATTTGTCCAAGCAATTACATTTATCATATATACTTAAAAACGCTTAAAACCTAAAAAGGAATAATTTAGTTTTAGTCAATCTCAAAGTTACATAATTCATTTACAGTACTCTCCTGTGAGTTATGCCTATGATATCACTTCTGGGATGAAAATCAAGTTTCATGGAATTGTATTAAAAATCAGTAAAATTAAATATAAATACTTCTCCAACACAAAACGATTACCATTTGCAGGCTTCTTAACCAATAACAGTTCATTCACATTTCTTGGGTCAGTTTCTTAACACAGAACAATTCTACACACTTGGTAGGATAAACATTACCAGCTCTCGAGGCAGAAAGGCTTCCTCCTGGCGAGCTACAATCAGAGAAACAGTCTCCCCTTGCTTAGTACTCCTCAGCATAGCAACTAGCTCTTCTTGGGTCCTGCTAGTGATGTCTCTGCCATTCACCTAATGGATGCAGTTGGGGGAGGAGAGGTGAAAGGAGAGTAGAAAAATCACTGACATTAGTGCACGCTAACCTTGACTTTTTTGGCTACTAACAGACATCACATTTATCCCAGGAAAAAGCCTTTTGCCCCAGAACCATACAGACGTGCATGTCCAATATCTTGCTTCCAGTGCCTTTGAAATAGGCTGGATAAAATGCACTAATACTTTTTCCTCAAGATATCTTGTTCAATATTTGTATGGTTATTGTGATTCACCATGGACAAGCTTGTCAAACTGCGTGTTCTCGCTGGGCAGCTAATGGCACAGGAGGACAATGTGGCTTGGAAGGGCGATGCATGTAACAAGGCTCTACTATACCCATTTTAATTTAGGTCTAATCTTGGTACTATCAAATAAAAAAAATCAAATGAGACATCTGTTTATGGCCCTTTTCTGAACTGGGGAAGGTGTGGTTCACTGGTCTGAGAGCCAAGAAGTTTTAGCTTTGGTTCCTATGTAACTCGGGTTTGGCTTTGCAAAAATCACTTAACCTCTTTGCTTATTTTCACCATCTGTTAGAGGTGGTTTATAGTACTTGCCTACCTTGCAGGGGGTTTGTGAGGCTTAATTAGTTTGTAAAGTACTTTGAAGATGAAAGCACTAGAACAAGAGCTAAGGATTATTAAAACTGTTTACATTAAGAGCTCCTTGAAGTTAGTGAGTAAATATAGCCCCATAGATAATGATATTGTAAGTCAAAAGATGTCTAAAAATTTAAAACAAACAAAACTGAGCACAGCTGTTTTAAATGGGCATTTGAAAAACCTTCGTCATGCACACACAACCTTGGATATTATTGCAGCAGTATGATTTCTTTTTAAAATTAATTTAAGTACTTTAAAAAACTGGTTGCCATGTTCTAAAATCTCTCTTATTTGAAAGTCTTGAGAAACCACTTTTAAATGCACTTTTTTCCAAATGGTAGCACAATATATTCAAGTTAACAAGCAGTGTGGAAGGTTTTCTCTTCCATTCCAGGATCTTAAGTATAGGGTTTAAATTAACAAGACATTATAATTATTTGGTCAGTAGTAAACATAAGAGCCAATAAATAGCACTTAGGAATGAAAATGATAGGAATATTTGATATTTCAGGTGTTCCTAACCTCCAGTATCCTATCTCCTGATTGTAGACGGCCATCTTTTACTGCTGCCCCTTTTGGCAATATATTCTTAACAAAAATGGGACCAGGGCCATGTACTGAAGAGTCTCTGGTAACCACAGTGAAGCCAAGTCCTTCAGGACCTAGGGAACAGAGACAGAAGGCTCATGGTAAATCTAAATAAGAATATGACAATTATCAAAAGAGCTGAACAGTCAACATAATAACATAAGTATCGAGTGCAGTCAACAAGAACGAACTACAATATTTTTGGATTAGCTATGCTCTCATCTAAAACTTAATTAAAGTTCTCTGTAAACAGAACATTCTCATAAATATTTTGTGTAGAGTAGTAAACAGCAAAGAAAATTACTGTAGAATTATGTGAATTAGTAATGTAAGTACAAGAAAGCAGGGACAGATCCAGAGGGTCTGTAGTGGTACAGTCAGACCTCCCATTTTGAACCAAGCTGTGGGAGCAGCAAATGAAACTGTCCTTGAAGGAATTAAGAATTCCACCCCCCTACCCTTTCTATCTGCGCTCAGTAGCACTTCCCTCTTCCTGTCCCCTGCTTCTCTGCCCACTGCTGTTACTGTCACCAGTTGACCTTCAGGCCAGAGGAGCTCCAGATATGCTCCTGCCTCACTCTAGCTGGGCTGCATGGGAAGCTCGGCTCAGCCAGGGACAGCAACATGTGGGTGCCTCCTCCCTGCCTGATCCCTCCATGTGTTTCTCGCCAGCCTGGGAGTAGGATCAGTGATGGGGAACCCGATTACTGCCACTGCCCCCTCCCTGTGCACCCTGACTGGAGTGGGACAGGAATGGCTTTGGAGCTTCCTCCCATTCCCTGGTTAGATGGGGACAGTGGCAGCATGAAAGAAAAGGGTGATGGTGTAAAAAGTGCATGGGAGGATGTGCTCTTATCTGATTCAGGGACTGTAAAATGTCTCTGGCTGCTGCTTCTGTGCTGTATGGTCTGGCTCACCTTGGTTTAAGTGTGTGGAAGCTGGGAGAGAGGGTGCAGTTATCCCTGCAGCACTGGTTGTTGGCCAGTTGCTGCTTCCACACCCCACTTCAATAATCCTGGATCTGCCCATGCAGGAAATGGGGATCAACTAACTCCATATCAAGGTCATAGTTATTATCCCAAAATGCATGGAATTATGTTTCAGGGATGTATGTGGTAGCTGTGTTGGTCTGAGACATAGAGAAATGCAAAAGTCTAGAACTCTTGGTTCCAAAATGATACCTTTTATTAGACCAACTGAGAAATTACAAAAAAAAATATTTTTCTGCAAGCTTTTGGGTTCATGAGCCCTTCACCAGGCTCAGGGAAAATGCAAGATGGTAAAAAGTCCCCATGTGTAGGAAATAAACTTCATTTTTCCACAGAGGAATCAGAAGCTGGAAAACTGTCCTTTTTTATCATGTTGAACTTTTGGAACCAAGAGTTCTAGACTTTTCAATTTGGAATTATGTTGAAACTT